GATCTCTATCCAGAAGAGCCCTGTCATGTATTAAAACATAACTTTCTGCTCTAGCAGTCCAGTCCAGGTCCACTGCGGCCGACCTGTTTGTAACCTCTGGTCTAAATGTTTGGTGTCAGAAGACTCCATAGGTCCCACAGCCTCTTCATGATACCCCTTCTACCAGGATTACTTGCACAGTAGCATTCCAACAGTCTCCTGTTCTCATCCCTTGTCCACTTATACCTTCTTGTTCTAAGAACCATACTTCTCATGAGTGTGTTCTGGTTCCTGAACACTTGACACAGGCATGCTTAATTTGGGGGTGTCCAAAGTCAGAGACTGCATCCTCCTGAGGACCTGGCCTTTGTGTTTTAAGTGGGCCAAGTCCAGCTGTGTGTAGGTGAAGCGAACGGCTGTGAAATCGGAGGGTTTAGCCTTCAGATTTCACGAGCTTTGTCCGGGGAGTTGAATAAACTCAGCTTTCTGTTCCTTGCTGTCTAAAGTATAACAGTACACAGGTGTAGATTCTCAACCATCTCACACTTCTGTTGTCACGGCCCAGGCCAGTTAACTGGAGGACTCAAATGTGGGACCCACACATACACCCCGTAAAGTGAAAAAACAAACAAAACTTTATTTCATTTTCAAAAAGCAAAAACGTGTAGATATGAGTTACGAAATAATGAACTAAGGTTTTCCTGTCTGCTTGGGAACCAAACTTGAAACAATGACTAGCTTTCTAATGAATAATTGGCAAACTTAAATCTTCATAGAAACTCCTTTCTCGTGAGCATAGAGGAAAGGCACAGGCTGCGGGAAATGCACTGGGAGTCTCTGCACGCTGCAACAAGAGGAGAGTGGTTTTAGTAATAAAGCTTGGGGAAAAATGTCTGGGAAAAGCATGACAGTCTTTTGCCCTACTGTTCGCGGGCGAGGTGTAGACACAGAGGAAGTACAAGGTCCTTGATTCAGGTGCTCAATCAGCTGGGCAGGGGGAAGGAGGTCCGGCACCTTGGACCGGGCGGCCTCGGGAACAAGTGGCCCAGTGCCCGGTCAGGTTCAGTCTGTAAAGCCCGTGGGATGAACTCTGCACCGCCCAAGATATGGATCTGATCTTGCGGGTAGCAGGCAGAATCGGAGAAGCCCATGTGTGTGCTTTGCCCTATTCAAACTGTCATGAGAGGGCGTCTGGTTTTTGATTCTTCGAACCTGGACAATAAGAAATGGAAAAGTTAAACCGAGCAAAAAATAATGACCACCTGGCCTGTCGAGCATTCTGTCTCTTGGCATGGCATAAATATGCCAGGTTCTTGTGAATTGTCCACACAATAAACGGCTGCTCCGTGCCTTCCAGCGAGTGTCGCGTCTCAGTCTCCTACATCATAGTTTCCCTCCGCCGGGCTGAGCCGACTCGAGAAGAAGGCACAAGGTTGAAGCTTGGCGGAGGAACCAGTCCTTTTTGACAAAACCGCCCCTTACCCGATCTCAGAGGCATCCAATTCAACTATGAACTGTTTATCAGGGTCTGCTTGGATTAAAATATGTGCGCTTGAAGGTAGTTGTTTTAGTCTTTTAAAAGCGCTGTCTGCCTCTGGCGTCCATGTGAAGGGGCACTTTGTGGAGGTGAGCTGAGTGACTATAATTCCGAATGAATCGCCTGTAGAAGTTAGCAAAGCCTAAAAATCGCTGTAGCACTTTGCGAGTACCTGGAACTAGGGCTGGGCCATATCATACCGTTCACGGTAATACCGGTATAATGTCGGGCAACGATAAGAAAATGAAATATCGCGATAGAATATGGGTAAAACGCGCATGAGCAGTGCCTTTGTTTTCATACACACATGGCAGAAAAAGCGTGCCAGCGACGGAGAATGAGAAGGGCGAAAGCGGATTGTAGAAGGAAACAGATTAACCAGAATACGTTTGTAAAAATGCTGCAACTTCAGTGGTATGGAACTGGTTTAGCTTTCGTCCGTCAGATACACAACAAAGCACTATTAATGGTAGCGCATGCTAGCGGGCCGTCGTTATTACCGTGTTTTTTGGAAAATACGGCACACTTAAAATCAATCCTTTGATTTTTCTGAAAATCAACAGTGCCCCTTATAATCTTCTTGCCTTATGTATGAATTCTCATTGTGTTTACTGACCTCGAAA